AAATTTCCATGTGTTTTAGTGAAACAAGTTAAAAATAATTTATAAAGGAGAATATAATTTTACTTTACCAAAATTGTTTTCATATATTATGTAATTGTTTATTTTCTATTAAATTTTTTTGGCCCCTCTAAAAATTGAGCCTGGTTCCGCCCCTGGGTAGAACGAGTACTCTTCCTTCCTATGCGATAACGTGGTCCAGGTGATAGAGATATTGAGCTATGAGCAATGTCCTTGTTTTGCATTTGAATGTATATCTAATATTATACAAAAAATTTTATGAAGCCTATTCATAAACTATAAACAATGCTCAGACTTGTTATTTAGCTTTTATTTCGAGTTTATCCTCTCATGGCTACTGTTGCTTGTTCAAACTTTGCCATTGTAACTTTCACTATTTGTGATATGAAACAACCAAAAACTCAGGGAAAAGACTATTCTAAGATGTAGGACTCTGAAGGGTTGAGATGGAGTCTGCTTACACGATTAGAAAAATTGTAAGTTTATCTTTAAGGGTAAAGCTTGTAATTGGCAAAACGATATATTGTTTGATATATCAGAAACATAAATATGAAATGTTTGGCAGGTAGAAAAATGTTTTCTACACAAAAAAATTTAATGCATGTACCTATTCTTTCCAAACTACAATATAATAGCTTGATTCAAAACATAGGGTATTGAATAAATGTTATGTCTATATACATATATATTCAATTACATCCTTACTTTATTGAATAATTAATGAAAATATTTTGAATAAGTCAAATGTTTTATTTATTATATTTAAGGGCACCATTGAAAAAATGTGAAATTTTTTTAAAATCAAAATCTTAAATAATTTTTAAATGTAAATTAATTAATAATAATTTACATTGTGATTAAGAGAGAGTATTTTATTTTCCCGATCTTTGCTTTCAGAGTTCAAACTTTATCTTCGACCAGTAATTCAATAATTCAATACGGATCGTTCATTATTGACAAAGGCATAAAGTGTTCACCTGTTGCACAATAAGAAACCACGTGCGGAAGATGGAAGAAGTAACCCTACATGCATAATTATTGTTTGGTGGCATTCTTATCCATCTGATTCTTTTCACGTCACTAAAAACTTATAGAAAAATTCTTCCAATAAAAAAAAAACCTAAGAAAAATTTAATCGTTTATTACAAAGCATTTCGAGCTTCACCTCGATCACTCCCTCGCTGCCTCTATAAATACAAGCATCCGAATTCCCATACACTCACACCCAAAACCAACAAATCAATGCATAGCCACAAATCAATGGAGCCTCCTGCATTCCTTTCTTTCCTCTTCTTCCTTCTCCTCGCCTTCACCACCACCACCGTCTTGGCGGAGGTGGTGATTGACTCCGACGGCGATATAATGAGAAACGGCGGCACATACTACCTGTCACCGGCTGCTCCTATTGGAGGTGGAGGCATTATAGCTGCTGCCATATTTAACCAGGAAGATCCTAAAACCTGCGAAGTCGCTGTGGTTTCAAAATTGGACACTCAAGGATGGGAAGTAACCATATCTTCTCCTTTAAGAGCTGGTTTCATCTCAACCACGTTTCCTTTGAACATATCGTTCCCTCATTTAGGACGTAACGTCTGCACCGGCGATTCAAAAGACTGGGTCGTCAAAAATTCCCTTCCTCTTGGACAGCCTGTGATGATTGGCAGTGCAGAAGAATCGGATGCTGCTTCTGTTCGTGGTTGGTTCTATATCAACACCTACGAATCAGAAAAGCATTACTATAAGCTCATCTTCTGTGAGCAAGGCAAAGTTCACTGTGGAAACATCGGGGTCAAACTCGATAGTGAAGAACGACGGCGTTTGGTTGTCACCGATAAGTACCCACTGGTTTTTAAGTTTGACAAGTTTCACCAAAGCTTCGCCTCCGATCTGTCTATGGTGGTGTGAACTGTGAACCTCTAGATCCTGGAGATTCACAACAACAATAATAATAATGTAACAGTGATGGTGATGTAATTAATAATGTGAGTGTGGCATACTTGTCGCACTTTCAGAGACCACTATTTTATGTAGTTGTTTATCATATGAATAAAAATTACATTATCATCATCAGTTAAATTTCTTGAGACACTTCAACGCCACTGGTATCATAATGTTAGGCTTTGCAAAGAGGAAGGAATAAAATAAATCTTGTTTGCAACATTATAGAGCCTCTTTGGTTGTTGAAAAGAAAAGAAATGGAGTGGATATATAAAATAAAATTGACTACAATAAGGCCATGGATTGATATTAATGTAAGAAAGATAAGGAGAGGAGAGAAATGGACTAATAAAGAGGTAGGAGTCTAGATTGATGGCCTTATTTATGCCAATCTCCATGTTTACATTTCTATCAACAATATCCATGACCTTATTTTATTTTGGGGAGAATTTCAATAAAGAACTCTTGATCAAACTTATTTACATTCAAAGCCTTTGGGATATTGATTTGATATTAAATTTTTAAGAAAAATAACACAATTGCCCCTCCTTTAAAGTAATATTAAAATTTTCCTACTTTGTTTGTTAATTGCTCTACTTCACTTATTCATTTATTTACAGAATGTTGTTAATTGGCCTACTTAACTTATTTTCATTTTAAATGTTTAAATCATCTTAAGACAACTTATTAATTTTATACTATATATTGTTTATTTACTTACGGACTATTATCAATTGCCTTACTTCAGTTAATAATGTGATTAATAATGTAACAGTGATGGTGATGTAATTAATAATGTGAGTGTGGCATACTTGCTGCACTTTTATTTTATATATTTCTTGTAGTTGTTTATCATATGAATGAAAATTACATTATCATCATCAGTTAAATTTCTTGAGATGCTTCAATGCCACCCGTATCATAATGTTAAGCTTTACACAGAATGTTTACATTTCAGTTTCTCCACACTTGCCTCTCCTTTGCACGTCATATCTCCTTATTTCAGTCAGAGCCGTTCAAAATGAAATCAAATTTGGATGGTTTTACTATACAACGAGGAAGGAACCCGAGACTTGGGGTACGGTAGACAAGAGGGAAGACAACCAAATAAATACGTTCGATGCTATATGTGAATCACCAAACAAATTAGAAGAGGATCGCCACAAAGATATCGAACGTCGAAGAGAACACTGAAGAAAGAAAGGAATGTTGAACCCTATGCATCAGAAGAGATCAGGATGAGAGCCGTGACCAGGGGCGGAACTAGCTTTAATAGTTAGGGGGGCCAACTTTTAGAAAACAAAAAAAAAATTATAATTTGGAAATATTAGATACTAGATTATGTACAATTATATGTACATTTTAAAAAAAATTTAAAACGTTCAAAATGGAATCATATAGCATACTTATGTTCGCTCTGATCCCTTGTATTATAAATTTCTTTTCAAAAATAAAAGTTAGTCTAAATTATTAGATACCCAATTAAGATTTCAAATGATACTTCATTTTTACTCTCCATAATTTTAATGATTTTTTGTAACTTAAACACGGCATGATGAGGTTCTCTTTAATTAATAAGGGTATTAGTGAAATATTAAAATATTTTGTAAAAATAAAGCAATCTAATAATTTTTCTTAATTTACATGAAAAAATGTTCAGAAGTGTATATAAAAGGTGCATTTTTTAAAAGCCCTACTTAGTCTAAAACACCTAATAATTGATTTTTCAACTACACTCCTATTTTATTTATTACTTTTTAAAAAAAACTATGCATTGAAATTTCAATTATCATTGTTAAGACACTTATAAAAAAATTTTAATGAATATATAACTGAAAAAATGTACACTTTTTTAAGAGATTAAGATTTAACTAACTTTTTTATAAAACGGTATATATAATTTGTGTATATGTATGTGTTTAATATGAAAGATTTTTTTAATTGTGGTGTTATGTTTTACGCCCCTTGCGGGACACGCAGGTCCACCCTTAGCTGTGATATCTGTTAGAACTCAGAAAATTTAATCTGCGTTAAATATGCATACTTTTAAAAGTAAAATACTCTAAAATTTAATAACTTTTTCAATATTTAATAGAGGTGAAATGGTAAAGATAAATACAGCAAGATGCTTTACATGTAGGATCAAAACAAATATTCTCTTCCTATTTTATAAATAGGATAAGAGGAGTAAACAAAAAATTCTCATCCTTTTGCCTTATAAATATGATCAAGGAGAGAGTGTGTGTATTAATCATAAAAAAATATGATAGGTAACACTCTTAAAAAAAATTTATAGTTTCCAATCTTTATTCCAAAACTAAGTGCATACCTTATTACCTTTGCAATGTTACATCAATCATCGATCTCTATAGTTTTATCTTGTTTTATTTTTAATTTTTATAGTTTTTTTAGTGTTTTTAATTTTTATAATTTCAACAAGATTAAATAACGTTTGTTACATAGGTCACTATAGTTTCAATGTTTTCACTTGTTTCAAATTCTATTTGGACTAAAAACACTAAAAACAATACTAAATGGATATAAAGCAAAATCCGATAAAATTATAGAAACTAATAATTATGTTTTTTTTAAATTAAAACTATAAAGATAAAAAATTATGTAAAATTGTAAGGATAAAAGGATTATTTTTCCCTAAATTTAAACATGAGTCATAGGCGGACAGTAGTGGTTCGGCTTTTGTTCGTTTTAAGCAAATTTTTGAGTTCAAGTCTTGCACACACACATATATAATAAAAACTATTACTTGGAGAACTTTGTGTTCAAGTTTAATTCAACTTGATATAGATTAATCAAGGATTATGACTCTCGAAAACTATTAGGCATAAAAAAAATTAACATTATTAATTGATGAGTGGGGCAAAGCATGTCAAGATATTTTTTTTTAACAGATGATGATAATGCAATATTTATTAGTCATGGAGATAAACTGGTACATGCAGTAGTGGTCTACGAAAGTGAGAGCAACGAGTATGTCTCACATTATCATCATCATTATTTCTAGTTTCAGACGTTCACAGTATAGTTCACACCACCATAAACAGATCGGAGGTGGAGCTTCTCCTCCATTCTTTGCGAATGGTAAAAACCAGTGGCTCGTTGTCAGTGACAACCAAACGACGCTGGTTCTGTTTGTCGACGTGGACCCCGACATCTTTACAAGCGTTTTCTTCCTCGCAGAAGACAAGCTTATAGTAATGCCTTTCCGAAACAATAAGCTTATACCTCTTGATAAAGAACCAACCATGAACAAAGGCATCACCAAATTCTTCAGCACTACCGACTATCACAGGCTTTCCGGTGGGAAGGGACGGCCTCGTGACAACCCACTTGGATTGATCGGCACAGTTGTTGGGTGGTAAATCAGCGAACGATAAGTTTAAGGGAATGTTTGTGGTGAGGAAAGCGATTCTTAATGGAGATGATATGGTTGTCTCTCGTCCTCCATTGAAGGGATCATCAACCACAGCGAGTGTGCATGAATGTGCATGCATAATGGGAGAAAATATAATCCCACTTCCTCTAACATGAGAATTAGGGTTTAAGTAGTATCTCCAACCATTTCTCACAATGTCACCATCAGTGTCGATCAGCACCTCCGCCGTGGTAGTGGTGAAGGCAAAAAGAAGGAAAAAGAAGGATGAAAATAATGCGGTAGGCTTCATATTGTTTGGTTTTGGTCGAGATTCAACGAAGAAGAGAAACATCAATTTATAGAGGAGGCAACCATGAGTTATATTAAACATTGATTTACAATAAAGTTTCAAAATAGAGAATTTATAACAATGAGGTTCTCAATAATTTTTTTTAAAAAATAAGTTATAAATTTTGATTTAAATATTTACAGTTAAAAATAGAAATCTCAATTGCAAATTGAGATTTATATTTTAGAATTTAAATATCTTATTTGCAATTAAAATTCCTGAATTTGTAATTGTTTGAATATTTAAACTGATTTTACAAAAAAAAATTTATCTAGGACAAAACTATCATAAATTCATTGTTTTGGGACTTTAATGTCATTCCTCCTAAATAAAAGATTAAAAGCTATACAAAAGCATAGTACAATAATTTTCTTTTCTGTGACAAAGCCAACTGTTAAATTAACCGCTCAGTACTCAGCCCTTGTTGATAAGCATATGTGAGGAATTGGTGCATCTTCCAATTCCATAATCATCTTGGCCAATACTTAGGTCGAGGTAAAGAACCTTTTTTTCCCTTTAATGCAGACCATGTAATAAATTTGACGATTGATGAAAGTATTTTTTAAAAAAATTCAAAAAGAAATTTTATATTCTCAATTTAAGAGGATTTCGAAAAAAGAAATCGTCGTCTTTGAATTTGTTTATGATTTGTTTCCTCTATATATCATGCGAAGCAAAGTGATTCAGAGATATACAGTACAATTATCGATATTATTCCACAATTAATCGTAATGGCAAGAGTGATACGTCTTGTCTTCTGTGTTTTTAAAGAATGAAGGCGGGGGATTTAAATCCTTTAAAATTAATATTCATGAATTCCTGTAAATTTATTATATATATTTTTATTCATTTTATTATTTTTTATAAAATATAAAATTTTTGCACTTTTTTTAAAAAGTAAATTTTAGGAAATTCACATATTCTTCCATGGAAGGGACTGAGAGACGAGGACTTGAAATACATTAATCTTGTCATTGTTAATGAAGTATCAATGTCAGCTTTCGTGCTAACCTTACATTCTCTGTTCGCTCATGCTTTTTCCGTGGCACCAAAATCAATATCAACATCAATATTAATAAAATGTAGTGTAGATAAACGACACAAGTGTTCACAAGTCATTTTTTTTTTGAAAAAGAAAAACTAGCACGAATCCCATGAGATACACACATAATATAATAATTGAACCAAACTCAATCGTTTACAAAGCATTTGAAGCTTCACCTCGATCACTTCCTTGCTTTCATGATGATAAAGGAAATTAGATTAAAGATTTTTTTTTAAATATCTTAGTTACTACTCAACCACATCTGTTGAACTTTTGGCCATCCTTAAAAGCTTTATTCTTTACTAAGATAACAAATTTACTAAGGTTGCATTTGGATGAGTGAATTTAAGTTAGAAATTTAAATTTAAAATCTCATGTTTTAAATCTTACATTTAAAATTCATAAATTCTAAATTCTTTGTTTGGATAATATAAAAAATTCTAAATTATAATATTAAAAGAAACTTAGAAGACTGATCAAAGTCGATGATCCGAATGGCCAACTTCCATCAGGATTAAATAGCAAAGCCTATTGGGACTGCAGCACCAGTGATGATTGAGACGGGACAGCCGACTTTCACTAGGACCGGACCGATGGCGATAATAGGTACTAGATGGCTGCCTTCCACCGGGATTGGATTGACTGTGAACATTGGGACTTGATCGACTGCCTCCCACCGGGACCTGACCTATGGTGATCACGGGGATTGGACATCCTCCTTCCACTGGAACTGAACAATCGACTTCTATAGGGATTAGATCGACGGTAATGACTGGCATCGAACGTTGACTTCCACTAGAATCGTACTGATGGTGACCACTGGGACTGGACCAACTACATCTAGTAGGACTAAATTGATAGCGATGACCAGGATAGGACAGTCGACTTCTACCAAAATTGAATGGCCGACTTTCATCAAGAAGTAGAAGTTAGTTGTTAGGTCACTGTTGTCGCAATTGGTTTGATTTAAGTGGAAATCATTCTTCTGGTCCCCATTGTCGCCATCGGTTTAATCTCGATGAAAGTAGGTCATCCAATCCCCATTATCATCGTTGGTTTAGTCCCGCTGGAAGTCAGTTTTTCGATCTTGGTAGTTGCCGTCAGCCATCCGATCTTTATCGTCGCCATTGATCCAGTCCTGGTGGAAGTTGGCCACCCAATCCGGGTGGTCACCGTTAGTTCAATCCCAATAGAAGTCAATTATTTGATCCTAGTGATCGCCATCAATTGAGTCCTTATAGAAATTGGCCGATCGATCCCTTCAGTCTAGTCTCAGTGAAAGTTAGTTAGCCAGTCCCTGTCATCACTATCGGTTCGATCCTGGTAGAAGTTAGCCATCTCGTCCTAGTCGTCGTAGTCAGTTTAGTCCCAATGAAAGTTGGCCACCCCATCCTGATTGTTGCTGTCGGTTGGGTTCCAATAGAAGTTGATCATCTAGTCCCAGTCAACGATGATGGCTTGTTTCTATCAACTTTTGTAGTTCGATTCAATTATCATTAGCAAGTCGATCAAGCTTTTGTGAATTTAGGTCAAATTGTAAAAGAGATTGAGTTAGGATTTGAAATAATAGGAGTTTAGAAATGATTTCAAATTATAAAGAAATTAAGGTAGAATTTGGTTCCAAATCCATATATTTTTAATTTTCTAAACAATGAATTTAATTCAAATCTAAATCTAAATTCAAATCCATATGTATCCAAACATAGTATAAAGTCAATATTTATTCAAACTTCCTTGAAGCTCTCTTGCTTATCCAACACGATTTCAACCAGAACCATCATTTCTCAGAATCCATCAACAAGATTGGGAATCTTATTATAAGAGACTTGATGATAACTATCAATCATACCTTTATTAGAAAAGCAAACAATTGCATAAACTGGCTTGCTTGTTAGGTTTTGAACAGAAATTTAGACTTTACAATTCTTGTCAATTCGTCTCTTGGTTGTAGGAGTCTTTTAAGCTTTGAAATAACTTAATTGTTGTTTCTTGCACTGTTTACGGTGGTCTTGTTATTTAAAAAAGGGGCAAAATACGTTAACGCACAAAACGCGCTGAATCACAAGTATGATTTTCCGTTCATTAATTCAAAGGATTAGACATAATACATGAGCGATTCTGCAGTGTTCATCATATGTGAAGGATATAATAAAACCAAACGGGACTAAAAAAAAAAAAAGCGTGCATATCGCATGTGTTTCGAATTGGACCCCATATATTATCAATTTCAGCCAATCAATAATTGCACGGATGCCTCTTTTTATAAATTAATCATTTCAATTGAAGAGTTTTAACAGCCACCAATGCATTGCCACATAAGCCGCACTTCTATCATTCATTGAATAAAATTATCACATTCATAATAGAAAAGAATATTAAGTAAAAAAAATCTTCCTCATAATTAAATATAATATAACAGGGACGTGCTTGAAGAAGATTTGAAGCTCAAAACAAAAGTATTAGTGAGGCACAATGTGTGTAATTGCCTCTTTGAAAAAAAAATACCCATCTTTATATTGTTTTTCCTGATTTTTTGAACTACAAAATTATATATTAAAGTTTTGTCATCAAGAAATTCTAATGAAAAGCCAAATTGATCTTATAGAGACAGAGACAGAGTTGAAAATTATCCCTTACAAAGTGTTTCCTGTCCTCCTCCATCTTAAATATTCTCGTAGTATGTGAATGATAACTATGACATGTGGTGGCAATAATTTTTTAGAAAAAAGTAATAGAAAAATCCAAAAGTTATGGCCATTGAATCGATTGATAAATATTGCAGATCCCTTACACAAGATAGGTAAATTATTCATGGAATTGATATTTTTCAGCGAGGTTTTCAATTTTAATTTGTTACACACACACACACACACACGTTTTTACCGCCAAGTCCAACTCAAGTATTGCCTTCTGTTTTTCACATAATTGTTTAAAATTAGTGACTTAAAACTTTAACTGTTAAAAAGAGACAGCATTACACTTAAGCTTTGCCTCCGATCAGTCTATGGTGGTGTGAACTGGGAAACGAGGACGACGACGACGTGAGTGTACATACTTGTTGCACTTTGTAGACCACTACTTTATATGCAGTTGTTTATCATATTAATAGATATTATATAATAATGTTTGGGTGATTCTGCACATATAATTGGAGAGACATGTTGCAGAAAAGAAAATCTTGTTTGGAACTGTAAAGGATATAACTCTTGTTTGTTTAATAGTTTATACTCCAATACAGTGAAAAGAGATCGCTGATGGGCTTCATATAATGCATGTACATGTACATTGTGCCATTCATGTTGCATTCATACACTGGACTTGCTTTTATGATGCTTCTCCACATAGAAGGAGATCATCCGCAAATATCAAACGAGAAATTATAAGCCCCTTACGAGTCACATTTGTCAAAACTCAATATTATAATGAAAGGGACTGAAAGAGACGAACATTGATATTGTCACTGTAAAAATCAATGAATTATCAAATAGTCTGATTCCCTCCTGAACACACTATATAAGTCATTTTTTAAATTTTACTTGGTCCAAAATATAATACATTAGGTAGGTATTATTATATAAATATATTTTTCAATTACATCCTTATTTTATTGAGTAATTAATGAGAATATTTTAAGCAAGTTAAATATTATATTTATTACATTCAAGGGCATGATTAGAAAGATGTAAAAAATTTTAGAAAATAAATATTTTAATTTTTTTAGAAACATAAATTAGTTAAGCCATATGTTTGCTCATGCATTTCACGTGGCACCAAAATCAATATTAATATTTGATAGAATACTCTTTTTGGACTATAATATAAGACATGTTCTAGTAGTTTGGTTCAAAATATAGGATATTAGATAGTTTTATAATTATTTTTTCAACTAAAGTCATACTTCATTTATTACTCTTTTTTAAAAAATAATGTATTAACATTTTAATTATCAATAATTATC